GACACGGGGTCGATGACACATGCCTGGGCCCTGAGAACCAGGCAGGCACATCCAGTGAGTCAGCCCCAAACACAGATGGTGCTTCTGGGGAAAAAGGCGGAGACCTAGCCCCCGTCTTCAGCAAGGGCGCAACCTGCCGGGGCGGGGGCGGGGTGGGGGGAGTTCAAGAAAGCGGCTCCTGTAATAAGTGCTTTGGGACCTGGAGGGGGGAGCTGTCCCTGCTGCACTGTGGGGTCTGAGGAGGTCCTGTGCAGCAGGTGGTACTTGAGCCACACCTTTGAGCGGGGTTCTCGCTCAAGGGCACTTTTGCCCCCAGATGACACTTAGCCTGTCTGTAGGCATTTTTGGTTGTCACAACTGGGGGGCAGGTGCTACGGGCATCTAGTGGGCGGGGGCCAGGAATGCTGCTCAGCATCTTACCGCACACAGGACAGCCCGACCACAAAGAATGATCCAGCCCCAAATGTCCACAGCGCCGTGGTTGACAAGTCCCCCATCTTTCCCGCCATCACCCCACCTTGCTCTTTTCGCCCAGAGCGCCTCACCTGCTATCCTTTTATGCACAGCCCTAGACCCAGGCCTAGCCCTCGCTTCCTGGGGTCCTCAGGAAGGGACAGGGGGCTGGTCGGAGCCAACGTTCTGAGTAGGCACCTCTTAAATCCCAACCCAGCTTTCTCTACCCAGAAGCCTCCTGGGCCCCTTTTCCTCCCCCTAGCTGCTATAGACCCAGGAATGCAGATTGATTTTAATAATAATCTGAGCAAAACATAATGAGGGGGAAATCTGCTGCTGTGAATGAAGAATTACTCTGTGCACTGTGATGCCAAATAAAAATGGTTTTGGGATTACCTTCTGTTTTGAAAGACCCAGGCCACTCTCCTTGCCATTAGCAGAGATCATCAAGAGCTGACTTTATTTGAGAGGCTCAAGGACAGAGGTCACTTTTCTCCCTGGAGTTAAGACCTGCCCAGGACTCTCACTGCTTTGGCCGAGTTGGCTGCCCTGCCCCACCCAGCTCTACCTGCCCCAGGGCGGACCCCCCCCCCACAACCTCCTGCCGTGCAAGGGGCGAGAAGAGGCATTGGCAGGTGGCTGCTTTCCAAGGAACCCCCAGCATGAGGCTGTGGACATCCACCCCAATAGACAGCATGGCTGGCCGCTCCCCACGCTCCCCCTGCACCTGCTCTGTACAGGGTGAGTGGCAAGTGTGACGTTTGGATGGATCGCTCCCTCTGCCAGCCCCATCTCTGGAACAGACTGGGATTTCACCATGGGGGGTGATCGCATGCAAGGCAGTCGGAATGGATGGCCTGTCCCATTGGCTGGAAACGTGCCTTCACCCAGCTCTACCTTCGAGGAACCCCTTGTGTCCTCTCAGGCACCATGTCCTAGACTTGACAGACAAAAATGACCCAGACAATTGTTAAAAATACCAATACCAGGACTTCACTCCATACTCCCTGAAGTGGACGATCCCAGGAAGGCGCCTGGGAAGTTTTCAGCATATCGAGCAGCCGGGGGATCCTCCTTCATCAAGGAAGTTGGGGAAATAGTGCTTCGAGGAGATGCTCACGTGCGGGTGTGCATCGGAATCGCCTGGAGGACTTGCTGGAACACAGGCACCTGCTTCACCCCCCCCCCACCTTTCTGACTGGGTGGGCGATTTGCCTTTCTAACGCGTCCACAGTAAAGCTGAGGCTGCAGGTCCGGGAAGCCCCATGGAGAACCTCGGGTCTGACGCAGGCTTCCTCACCCTCCACACTATTCTTGGGCCGGGTCATTCTGGAAGAGGGGGCTGTCCTGGGCACCGTGAGATGTTTAGCTGTATCCCTGGCCTCTACCCCCTTGATACTGATAACTCCCCCCTCCCTACCCCCCAGTTGTGATAACCAGAAATGCCTTCGGACATTGCCAAATGTCCCTGGAGAACAAAATCACCCCTGGTTAAGAACTGCTGGGTTAGAGAGTTTAGCACCCACCTCCACCCCCGAGCTCCCGCCAGCTGGGAGCACATGTTCCCCCTCTGGTGTGAACGGCCTGGACCTGAACCCCCAAACCTTCCCTGGAGCCAGGAGATACTCAGGGTCCTGCTGAACCCTGCTATTCCAAGTCAGCAGACCGGCAGCATCTGGAGCCCGTTTGAAATGCAGAAGCAGGGGCTCCTGGGCAGCTCAGATGGTTAAGCATCTGCCTTTGGCTCAGGTCATGATCCCAGGGTCCTGGGATCGAGCCCCAAATTGGGCTCCCTGCTCGGCGAGGAGCCTGCTTCTCCCTCCCTCTACTGCTTGTGCTCTCTCGCTCTCTCTGTCAAATAAATTAAAATCTTTTAAAAAAAGAAAAAAAAGAAAAAGAAAGAAACGCAGAAGCAGGTCCTGGGATATGAGAGTGGTAATGTGGGGCGTCCTGTCTTCCTGCTTCAGGTGGCAGCTAGTTAACATCTGTTGAGAACTTACTTTGCGTCTGGTCACTGCTTCTCCGACTTGGCTGCATTTGGAAGAGCTTTAAAAAAAAAATGCTGGTGGCCCTTTAAGATGCTGAATTTTATGTGATGTGGGTTTTACCTCAGTAAAAAAAATACTGCTGGGTATGGCCCGGGCATCAGGACTTTTTTTTTTTTAGACTCCCAGGTGTTTGTAATGCACAGCCAAGTTTGAGAACCGCCGTGTGAGGGGTCTCGCCTGTCTGGTAGTATTCAACCCATCCTCTCACTGTAACTGCCGACGGCTCTTGGGTCCCTTTTGCAGATGGGGAAACTGAGGCTCGCAGGGGTTGGAAAGCCTTAGCCAAGGTCATGGGATGAGTAAGATGCATAACTGGGATTTGAACGTGGATCTCTGAATCTAGGGGACTGTGGCGTCAACCTACCCACAAGGCGGGCTCCCCAGTGCCTTGGTGCGCCCTGATGCTGTCCCTGGTGTCAGTGGTGTGCCCTGGGCTGGACAGAGCAGCCATGGTAGGGGGAGGGTGACTGGTCTTTGTGTGCGTCTTGCATTTGAGGCTGGGGGCCAGGCGTCCTGATGGCCCCAGGACTGGGGGCGTCACCAACAACGAAGCCTGCCCAAGCACTCTAGTGTCCCCACAATGCCTGTGACAAAGACTGGCCCCGCTCACACTCCCCGAGAAGCTCCCACACCTTTGTGAGCACAGCGTCCAGTTTAACTGTACCGTGTGACCCTGTTCTGACCGTACCCCTCCTCCTCTCTCCCACAGTATTCTCCCAGCATGAGGGCCACCTACCTGTCCGTGGCGGACGAGCACCTGAGACACTACGGGAATGAGTTTCCAGCCTAACACACTTTCTGCAGAGGTTCCTGCCTCCTTGATCCGTTTTGGTTTTTAACGAACTCCAGCACAAGCTGCATTTCTTTAATAGAAACCAAAGGCGCCTGGAGGCTGGGTGCAGGGCCACGGGATTGGCAGGCCGCTGTGCTTGCGGCGGGGCATCCGCGATTCAGGGAGAATCCACCTGAGCTCGGCTGAGATTCCTGACCCAAGGCCCAGGCAGACAAGAACCACGACTCGGAACAGCCTCTCCCTCTTCTGCCCTCCTGTCTACACCGGCAGTACCCCTGGGTGCTCGGCCATGTTGAAGGTGTTGGAGAGCCGTGCAGGGGGTGGCCCCAGGGCTGGGGGGGCCCCAGCTGCATCCCCGGCAGGCTTTCCGCAGGGAGACCCAGCGGGAACGTGGGTGACAGCTACCACGGTCCACCCGCCTTCTGCCACCCTCCACTGCCTCTCCTCCATCCCAGAATCGATGCTGTGAGTTGGTTCACTACAGAAAGGGACAGTCTCAGGTATTAATAGACACTTTGAAAGCAACACTAACTCTCCCCCACCCCAAGTGTTTTAAATGTTTTGATTATCCAAAGAATTGAAACTCAGAGCACATCCGGTTTTTACAAGAGATTTGGGGCTCATGCCTTCCCCCTGGGTTGTATCCCATTCTTCTGCAGATTTTGCTGGCATCAGCCAGTTCTTTCAGGATCTGGAGGAAGAGAGGATTTTTAAACAAGGAACAGGTCAGTGAGACCTGCGGTCCCAAGCTGCTGCTTGATGGGGATGTGGGTTCATCCCATTCAAGGAGGGAGGCCCTTTAAGACAGAAAAGAAGCTGAGAGGGACAACTGAACACACTCCCCTGTTCTGGGGACTGGCCAGGTGAACTGCCTCTCCCTTTTGTCTGCAAGCAAGTTTGTCTTAAAGGTTTTGGCAAAGCGGGGGGGTCATGTCTTGACCTGAGACAGGCCTCTTCCCTCATCCCCCCAACCCTGTACCCATCCCCTTGTCCTGGGCCCCTGAGCTGCACGTGCTCGGTGAGAAGGAGCTTGTTGGCCAGGAGGAAATAGTGACCCACCATCCTGCCTGCTGAGGATCCAGGGTTAGGGTCTCTGGTGCTTCTTATCTCCTGTCAACTCAGAATGCACAACACTGATCCCCCCGCAGCCTTGCACACCCAAAGCCAGGGACACGGGGTGACCTGGCTGGGAACAAGGGCTCCGTTTCCATTTTCGAAGAGCTCCTTTCCCATCAGAACGCTGACAGCAGAGCGACTCTCGGCACCCAGCCAAGCCTCTATGACAGAACAGGGCCCCACGGCAGCCCGGACTCTTGCCTCACCTGTGTTAACCTAGAAGTACCGTGTACCATAAACATGTCTGTGTATGGCCACGTCGCATGCAGATAGGAACCCCGCGATGTCAAGATGTTGCTTCTTAACATTTCGTTGTTGGCAACCGTAGCGTTGTTTTTAATGCATGTAAACTAAACTAGAATCCTTTGGGTGGTCCCTGAAGGAGCCAGGTGGGCTCTGCTTGATACATGTGCGCCCTCGCCTGGGAAGAAATAAACCACTTGTACTAAAACATGTGGTCTGTCTAACTTCCTCCGCGGCGGCAATAACGAGGGTCCCGCATGCTCCCTGCCGGCTGGGCCATGGGCCGGAGGGCGTCCCCGCAAATCTCAGGGATTTCAGGGCAAGGACTAAAAGACGGACCACCTCCCCCAGCTGATGGCTCCCCGAGCTTTGCACTCTGTACCTAAACTCTGTCTCCATGGGGTGCCTCTCTGGGCAGGGGCACCTGAGATGCTCTGCACCCTGCTGGGCAGACTCCCAACTTGGTGTCTGCAGCTTTGTGCCCTGTTAATTCCTCCGTGCGGCAGCCTAGCCTCCCAGAATTGACTGCATTTCAAGGAACTTCCTGAAGGGGGCAGTTTGTGCATCCTTTGGGAGTACTTGAGGCGTGATACAGAGGGCTCTGTACAGTAGAACATGCCAGACTCGGAACTGCTCATCCCTCAAAGCTGAGCATCAGAACTAGGGCGTTTCTGAAATAAGAGTGGCCCCCCCACACATCTAGCAGCACAGATGCCTTTCTCCCTCGTCTTAGGAGACCGAGAGCAGTGGGAAAAAGGCTTGGAGCAATGGAGAAACCAATCTGATTTTTCTTTAAGATTTATCTATTTATTTTAGAGGGGAGAAGGGGCAGAGGGAGAAGGAGAGAGAGAATCTCAGGCAGACTCCCGCTGAGCACAGAGCTTGACGTGGGGCTCGATCTCACGACTCGGATCCAAAATCAATAGCCAGATACTCAACCGACTGAGCCACCCAGGCGCCTTCCCCCCATCCCCCCCGACCCCCGCCAAATCTGATTTTTTTTTAAGGTAACTGTAGTTCAGTACTCAAATGAGATTCACTTTGAGGGCATTCATCATCTCTGGGATCTGCCGAGAAGACCTGAGCTGCAGGTGGGCCCTGCATGAAGTAGGAAGGAAGCCACATGAGAGCGCCCACAGCTCAAGGGCGATTTGGGTCCCCACGTGTGTCACCTCACGACCTGCATTCCTGTCTTGGGTGCACCAATCTCTCACCCAAGGAAAGGAGTGGGGTGAATGGGCCTCTCTGCCAAGCAAGCAGTCGCCTGCCAGCCTCACCATTTCTAAACATCTCCGAACAGCCCCCACCCCAGACCCAGGAGCCCACTCCCAGAGGGAAAATAATGAACTCCATCAGGCCCCCTCTGTAAGCAGCAGAGCCTCTGCCGGGAACACGGGCATGTGTTTGAGGCAGTCATTCAGGGCCACCTTAGCCACGGGGGGGCAGCGACAGAGTGGGTCCCTGCTCCAAAGCTGACTCATCTCCTAAACTCTGCTGTTTGGTGCGTTTTCCCTCTTCCAAAGCTTCAAGGTCTCAGATTTCAGAGCCGCGGGGGCAATATCGCTGCCTCTTGGCTCTAAACTGCTGATGTAACAACACTCAGGGCGCCTTGTGTGCCCACGACAGGTATATCCAGATCCGGAGCATTTCCCTTCCTTTCTTCTCTCTTTCAAATGTCTATTTTCCCCCTTCCAAAGTGCACTGATTGCTCAGCATGGAGGCCAGCAAACTACCACCACCGGCGAGCCTCATCTGACCTGCTGCCGTGTATAGCTGGTGAGTAGGGCTTTTATATTTTTCAATGGTTTTTTTTTTTTAAGATTTTTATTTATTTATTTGAGACAGAGAGAATGAGAGACAGAGAGCACGAGAGGGAGGAGGGTCAGAGGGAGAAGCAGACTCCCCGCCGAGCAGGGAGCCCGATGCGGGACTCGATCCCGGGACTCCAGGATCATGACCTGAGCCGAAGGCAGTCGCTTAACCAACTGAGCCACCCAGGCGCCCCTCAATGGTTTTTTTTTTTAAATAAAATATTTGCAACGGATTTTGACAGTAGAGAACACTAACTCTGAACTTCAGTTAAAGCGTTGTCCTCCCGTCAAAGAATTCCATTCTTTTTTTTTTTTAATATTTTATTTATTTGACAGAGAGAGAGATAGCGAGAGCAGGAACACAAGCAGGGGGAGTGGGAGAGGGAGAAGCAGGCTTCCCGCTGAGCAGGGAGCCCGATGGCGGGGCTCGATCCCAGGACTCTGGGATCACGACCTGAGCCGAAGGCAGACGCTTAACGACTGAGCCACCCAGGTGCCCAAAAGAATTCCATTCTTATTAATAGATCTGTATGACAGAAAAATTAGACTCAATATAGTAGTTTGAATTTTGTTAATCAAAAATGTGTGGGAATTGTTTTCTCCCTTATCATGTAAATATCTACAAAATGTCTTTGATTTTCTTCTTAAACCTGCAGCCTAAAAGGATGTGGAGAAATTGGAACCCTTTACGCTATCGGTGGGAATGCAAAATGGGGCAGCTGCTGTAGAAAAAGGTATGGTGGCTCTTCAAAAAATTAAAACTCAAGAAATTCTATCAAGTCAATAGAATTACCATAGAATCCCGCAATTTTTTTAAAGATTTTAATTATTTATTTATTTGAGAGAGAGAGAGCACAATCAGGGGGAGTCGCAGAGGGAGAGGGAGAAGCAGACCCCCTGCTGAGCAGGGAGCCGAACCTGGGACTCGATCCCAGGACCCCGGGATCATGACCCGAGCCGAAGGCAGACGCTTAACGACTCAGTCACCCAGGCACCCCAGAATCCAGCAATTCTACTCCCAAAAGAATCGAAAGCAGTCTGGAAGAGATGTTTGTACATCCATGTTCCCAGCACCATTATTCACCATCGTAAAAAGTGGAAGCAACCCTAGTGTCCGTCAGTAGATGAGTGGATAAACAAAATGCCATCTATACAGACAATGGAATATTATTCGGTTTTAAAAAGGAAGAGAATTGGGCGCCTGGGTGGCTCAGTTGGTTAGGCGACTGCCTTCGGCTCAGGTCATGGTCCTGGAGTCCCGGGATCGAGTCCCGCATCGGGCTCCCTGCTCGGCGGGGAGTCTGCTTCTCCCTCTGACCCTCCTCCCTCTCCTGCTCTCTGTCTCTCATTCTCTCTCTCTCAAAAAATAAATAAATAAAATCTTTAAAAAAAAAAAGTTTAAAAAAAATAAATTAAATAAATAAATAAATAAAAAGGAAGAGAATTCTGACATAGGCTACCACATGGATGGACCTCGAAGACATTATGCTAAGTGAAATAAGCCAGTCACAAAAAGGCAATATGTGATTCCCCTTATATGAGGTACTAAGAGTAATCAAAATCATAGCAGCAGAAAGTAGGATTGCGGGTGCTGGGAGCTGGGGGAGGGGGAAATGAGGAGGTATTGTTAATGAGTATAGAGCTTCAGTTATGCAAGATGGAAAAGCTCTGGAGATGGATGGTGGTGATGTCAGCACAACAGTGTGAATATACTTCATGCCACTGAACTAACGCTCTTAAATATGATTACGGCAATCCGTTTTGTGTTATGTGTATTTTACTGCAATAGAAAAAAATCGGAAAAAGAATAGTAAGGGGTGGACAGCAGTGCAATGGATCGTGGACTGGCCTGGGGGCGGGGGGAGGCCACGGCCAGGGGCTGCTCTCAGCAAAGAATCTCAGCAGCCAGTTCACCTGTGATTGGGCAGAAATCAGAGAGACACTGAAAATTGTTTTTATCCGGATGCCTGGGCATACTCCTAATTATATGACCTCATGCTGGCTTCCCAGGTCGGCTGACATGGGCCTGCCCAGGGGTGATGGCTGTTCTGCCAGACAACAGAGCTGCCCAAGGCCATTGCAAGCATGCAGGCCTTCTGAGTGCAGGTGGGTGTGGGCAACCTGTAAGAAATCATTGCAATAATATGAGAAAGGTAGTTGGAGGATGCCTTCAACTTCTCCCATTTCCCTGTACTTCCCCACCCAGGGAATAATGTGTGTGTGGAGGGTCTTAGCTTTCCAGGGCTCGGGGGAGGGGGAGGAGAATGTCTATGTTTCCAGTCCCAACCAGCCAATGCTCCACTGTGGAGCCGATCTGTTTCTTCTGGATGCTTTGTTGGGGTCTGATTCACCTCTGACTGCACAGAGCCAGTTCAGTGGAGCTTTCAGACCCTCCTGCACCCAGCCAGCCCCCATCACCGCCCTCAGTGCCCACCGCAAGAGAGCCCTTTGCTTGGAGGCACAGGTGGGAACAGGAGCCAAGGGGAGGGGGGCTGGTGGCAGCCATTTGGGGGGCTTGTTAGTATGGTTGGGCAAAGTGCCATCTTGGGAATTTTGTTGCACCTGCCCAGTTAAAGGCAGGTGGGTAGCGGTGAAGACACATTTATGGAGAAGTTGGGGAACCAGAGTGGGGGAAGATTTGCTTTCTTTCCTGTGATTTCACAGCTCCAAAAACCCACAGGAAGCAATCCAGGTGCCTTAGCCTGCCTCTCGGCACACCACCACAAACTGGCCCCAGCTGACCTTTGCAAATTCCTCCTTCATTCTCTCCCCCACAGGGACTGTCAGCTACCACCACCATGATGCATCCCCCTCCCCAGAATGTCTTTTTCCATTGCAACCACCCCTCCCTCCCACACACCATGCCCTCCCCCCAATCTGGAATGCTCTCCCCACTCCTTGCCTTGCAACTCATCACCATTTTTCAGGACCAGTTCTGACCCCCAATCCCATTTTTTGGCTGACACGTCTCCTATCTACCCCAGTCCAGATCTCCAGCGCCCATCCCTGAACTTGGTTAGCCTGCTTCTCTGTGGTGGGAAGTACGGGGCTGGCTTATGTTTGGGTGCAGACTCTGCTATCAGCACCAGCCCGGGCACTCTGCCTCGTTGTCTCAGTCGGGCCTCCCAATTTTGTCACTGTACCCCCACTTTGTAGATGAACAAGGTCGAGTCTTAGAAAAGGAAAGTAATTCTCCCGAAGTCATATGATTAGTAAATGACCCAGCCGGGATTCAAACCCCTGCGTGCTAGCCCCCAGTCCCCTGCTTCCAGTTTATATTATCTTGCTTCACTGCCTTAGCCCCAGGAGGAACTTCATTTTATTCATTCATGCATTCAGTGAACACTTAATACATGTTTACAATGTGCCAACCACCAGCCAAGCTGTGGAAACACCCAGCCCCTGCTGTCCAGGAGTGTCTGTCCTGGTTGTGTGTGTAGTCAGCCTTGGTTCTTACACAATGTGCGGGGGATAGGGTAGCACAGGGGAGACTGGGAGGTTTAATTCCCATCGAGTGGGACGAGAAACCCGAAGGAAGGAGCAGTAAGACAACCTGCCAGACCACAGGCAAATAGACAGCAGAGCCGGGCATCCCACCCTGGGCGCAGGACTTCCGAAGCGCTTACTACAGTAATTCGCATGTTCTCAGGATCTTGCCCAATGCATTTTTTGTAGACTTGGACAAGCACCTCGGCAGAGATCCCACAAACGTTTATTATCACCGGTGTTTGACTTACGTGGTTAATTTTTCTCCTAACTCCGGGAGACCCCCCCCCCCCCACAGGATGCTGCGGGGTGGGCGGTCACGTGCTCCGGGGCGCCCTCCGCCCCGCCCCGCGTCCCGGCCCGCCCAGGGTTGCTAGGCAACAGGTAAACTCCCCGGGTCTGAGCCGTTTGAGAAGCGCTGGGGTCGGCGCTGGGGCTCAGGTGCTCCCTTTGCGGCCTGGCGGCGACAGGAAAAGACCGAGGGTAAGGGCGCGGGGGCCGGGAGGAGTCGAAGGCTGAGAGGAGAGGAGAGTGAAACGGGGAGCCCCCGAGGGTAGTAATCAGCGATGGCGCAAGAAGCTCCTCGTGGGGGCAGCCTGCGGGGGTAGCTCCACCGGACGGTGGGTGCCAGGGGTCCCCGCCCCATCCGTCCGGGTTGCCCTCGGTACTCTGAGTCACAGGACCCTGCGGGTTCTGGTCGCCTAGCCTCCTACACCCCGTGCTCCCAGTCAGTCTGGTCCAGATCCACCAGTCTCCTGGAGGGGCGGGAGACCTCTAAAGGGTTCGCAGCTGGCTGGCTGGAAAGTACAATCTGGGCTGGAGTAGCGGGAGGTGGGCTTTCTGATAGGGGAGGGAAGGGAATTCATAATTATTGATCACTGACTAGGCGGCAGCTCTCCTAAATGCATGGCTTTATTTACTCCTTAACCCGAGGGGGACATTCTTATGCCCATTGGATACCATGCTCAAGGTCACACATTTAGTTTCACCTTCCTGCAACACGTTCAAAGTTTATCACAATCTCTGGAACCACAGAAGTGTATTATTGGCTTTTAGACCCTGTGCTTCCCCCTCTCACATCTTTACCTAGCTGTGCTTTGTTTTTCTGATCAGAAGTGGAAGAGGAGGGGGCAGAGAGTTTTAGGGGAGAACGCCAGGACCCGGCTGGTACTCGGCATGGGACAGAGGGAGTGTTGGGCTCTTTCCTACACCAGGCGCTGGGGACAGGGCTGAGGGAAAAGTCCATAGTCTGCCCTCAAGGAGACAGTGTTGTAGTGGGGAGAGCAGGTAAACACCAGCGCAGCACCCTTCAGTCCTGGGGACCTCCTTCCACCTCTGCCTGGCCTCATCCTCCACGTGCTTGGAGCTCACCCCAGGTTGACCCCAGTGCGCCTCGGTTGCCCTGGTAGGATGCCCTGGTAGGGGCCGGGTGGATTCCTAGGGAGATCTGCCTCATTTGAAAGCAAATGAGTCCCTTAGGACCCCACATTCTAGAAGGTGCACAAAGACATAAGAAAGAGGGAAGGAAGCTCTCCACCTGCATTCCTCTGCCCAGCGACCAGGTGTCACACAGAGGCGCAAAGACGGGGGGGGGGGGGGGGGGGCTCCCAGGGACCACGAGGACGAGGAAAATGTTCTCATGTTTATGTTAGGTGGAGTCCAGCACGGAGGGAAAGCAGCCGCCCCCCTCTTGCCTCCCTACTAAGCGCCCAAACTGAGCTCCCCAGCGCCACCCCTCCCTCAGTCCCACCCCAAGCTTGGAAAACACACTTTCTCTTAAGTCAGGGAGGTTCTTGCCAGGAATCACTTTGCTCGAGGTCATTGCACAAGAGGTCATTGCACACAAGCACAATTGGTGAAGGTTCCAATCCGACTGTCCTGGGACATAGGAGACAGTCTTCGTTTTGATGTTCAGACTCACACATCTCCAGGCCTGTGCATTCTTGTGTTTGAGACTCCCAGCAGAGTGCTGCCTGCCCCTGGGTCTCTAGGTTCCCACGGGTGGGGGCCCCCTCCCCAAACTCCCAAAGGGCAGCAGTACCGCCCCCACCCCCCTCGGAAGCCCCCTTTGCAGACAGACAGCAGGGCCCGGGGAAGCCCAGCCAGTGGTGCTTGTCTCACAAGCGGGGAAAGACCTCCTGAGACCCCCACGCTGACCCCGCTATTCATCTTTGGGTCCTGCCAGCTTGTGAGAAAGAGCCCGCTCTGGGTCCCTGAATGAGCTGTCTTCCCGTCACCGGGCCAGCCTTTAAATGTCCCCTCTGTCTGCCTCCAGATAGAAAACAATGCCTCTGTTCTCGCTCCTGGCTTGGTCTTGGGAGGCACCAAGAAGGAAAGCAAAGCTGTTTAAAATATGATCTGGGCTAAAGAGGCTATTTTTGTGCCCCTGGAGTTTCCTCATGCTCTTAAACCTCCTTGTGTCTCCAGAGAGCTGGCTTTTTCAGCAACTGTCTTTTCACAGAGGGAGAGCCAGGCGGCCCGTGACTCTGGGGACCCCGGCGCCGCCCTGTGGCCCTTCAACACTTGCCCATGTAGAATGAACACATTAGGGCCACCTCCTGCAAGTCGTGTTTCTCTTCCCACCCTCTGCTGTCCAAGCCGTCGCTTCTGCCTGTCCTGGTATAGGAGAGTTTCCAAACCGTGAGAAAGGGCGGGAAAATCCTGTTTTCTGCAAGTCTGGTTCAGGTCCAGCCATTCTGGGGCTGGGAGTGGGTTGGGCGGCGCTGTCCTGAAGCAACAATGGGTGTGGATGTAAAGGGACCTAGAAGTTAACCCTCCCACCCTCACCCCCTCGCCCCTGCCTCAGCTGCTCCAAGGTCAAGGCCACCCCAGGCACATGCTCCTGGCTTGTCGCACAGCTCATGGCCCTCTATTGCAGGGGCCAGCAGCCAGGACCCATTGGTCGGGGTCCTTGCAGCCTTGGAGGTGAGGGGAGGCAGATTAGACACATCTCTGGTCATAATATTCATCTGGGGAAATTGAGAAAAAACAAATTGCCAGGCCCCGCCCCAGACACAGGGTCAGCATTTGCAAGAGGGGGCCTGGGAATCTCCATATTGCAAACAAACATCCCAGGTTTGAGACATGCTGGCTGAGAGATTAAGAACCCTCACTTTAAGTCGGGGGTTCTCAACCCTGGCTGCACGCTGGAGTTACCTAGGGAGTTTGAAATATCCCATGGAGAGACTCTGATTTCATTTGTCTGCAGTTTAACCTGAGCATTGTGATTTTATAAAGGCCTCCAGGAGTTTCTAAACCTATAGCCAAGGTTAAGAATCACTGCTTTAGAGCCAGACGGCCCTGGGCCCTGGCTCTGCCTCAACTTAAGAACTGTGACCTTTGACAAGGTGTTTAAGTTCTCTGGGCATTGGTTTCTTCATATGCAAAATGAGAATTGTATCTGGCGGGCTGTGGGGGCAAGCAGTGAGGGTACCTGCAAACTGCTGTTCACAGCACTCGGGACCCGCAGATATCAATATATTCCGGATGCAAGTCCTTTATCAGATATGATTTACAGGTATTTTCTCCAAGTCTGTGGCTTTTCATTTTCTTAATGTTATGTTTTTTGGTTTTTTTGTTTTTTGTTTTTTTTTTTTAGAGAGAGAGAGAGCATGTGTATGTGAGGTGGGAGTGGGAGGTGCAGAGACAGAATCTTAAGCAGGCTCCACGCCCAGTGTGCAACCCAACACGGGACTTAATCTCACGACCTAGAGAGCAAGACCTGAGCCAAGACCAAGAGTGGGCGGCTTAACCAACTGAGCTCCAATGTTATCTTTTGAGGTGCAGAGTTTTTAATTTGAATGAAGTCCAATTTATTATTGTGTTTGCTTTTATGGACCATACTTCTGATGCCATTATCTAAGGAATCTGGTCTATCAGCGTCATGAAGATTTCCCTCTGTGTTCTTCCCCCTTAGTTTTATAGTTTTAGCTCTTACATTAAGGCCTGCAATCCATTTTGCATTGATCTGTGTGTGTGTGGTGTGAGGTAGGGAGTCCAATGTCATTCTGTCCCATGTGAACGCCCAGTTGGCCCAGCACCATTTGTTGAAGAGACCATCATTTCTCCTTTGAGCTGCCTTAGTACCTGTTACAAAAATCAGTTGGCCATAAATATAAAGGTTTATTTCTGAACTCTCGATGCCTTTCCATTGATACATATGTCCATCCTTATGCCAGTACCACGCCTTCTTGATTATTCAGCTTTAAGTAAATGTTTGCTGAATGAGTAAGTGAAAGAATGGAAACTATATATAAGGCATGAGGTCTGGCATTCACAAAACCTATAAATTCCTAGAAAACTCTGTGTAATTAGCTTTCTTTTTTTAAAAAAAAAAAAACAGACTCATGTTGAGTGCCCCAGAGGGCATTCTTGGGCAAAAACTCCAGTACAATGTTGCTTGGTAAAATGAGGGACTCCCCTAGCATCTCTTGCATTTTTCATCTGTTTCCTAAGTTTGGACATTTGTCTGTGGGTTTTACTGAAAGCAGGACCCATGTCCTCCAAGTACCTTCCCACAAGGTCCCCATTCAGTTCGAAGCTAGCAACACCTGCTCACAGGCAAAAACCTAAACTCTGGGTGACCAAAGACCTTCTGTTGTAAATCCGATCATGGCAAGGCTCTTGTCCAGCTGTCCTCCCCATGGCTCCCACCCACTCATCCAAGGGCTCTGTGCAGTCCCAGGAGCCTCACAGACCCACAGTCTGAGCTCTGGGGAACCTGCCATCAAAGACACGCTTTCTAAGAGTTAGGTGTGGCCACAAAGGGTGACTGTGCTTACCTCCACAGTACGGTATTATAGACTCATCAGCTGGCCAGCCATGGAAGTCACCAAGGAGCTCTCAGACCCCACAGAGTCTCCTGGTGTGACAGGGGTCAGTGAAGAGAAGAGCCATCTGTGGGAACTGCCCACTGCGTTTCGAAGACTTCCGGTTAGCATCCGTGCGGTGGAACCTTGCGTTCCAGCTGTGCTGCAGCCTGAGTACGTCAGGTGTTGGAGTGACTGAGTGGTCTAGCCACGGTCAAGCAGCTAGGGAGAGGCAGGACCAGACCTTGAGGTCAGCGCCCAGCCCAGCCTGCTTTCCAATTCCCCACTGCACCCTTTGTGACCAGTCTTTCAAAGGCTCAACTATTCTGCCTGTTGGGAAGTGGGCTGGCTCTCTCCCCTTCTCCGGAGGACTCCCAGCCCCGTCGTGGTTGGAGTGATGTAGAGGGAAGAGGCTCCAGTGGGGCCCCCGGGCGTGGCGGAGGGTAGAGTCCAGTAACCTAGAACTCTGGGAAGGGAGTTGTGGACAATCAGGTGGTTGGGTGGGAGTTTCCAGGGGGGCCTGGGGCTCTCAAATCCGTGTGCTGTATGACCAGGTCCAGTGTGTGGCAGGGGATTTAGTCCAACATAATCGCCTCAATATTTCTTCCTGCCCCCCAATAACCATATTAGCTCAGTAAACACTATCATTTAGTGAGTAAGAGCCGTGGAGTCAGGCAGAGTGGCTGGACCCCTTATTAGCCATGTGGTCCTGGGCAGGGGACTCAGAGCATCTCTAAGTATGAGATTCCTCCAAAGTAGAATGGTGATGCTATTGTCCACCTCAGAGGGCAAATGCAAGAACGGAACCAGATAATGCGCGTAGTCATTACTCAATACATGATTTTTTTTTAATGCAGATGTGGCTTCTGAACAAATCCCCTAGGACCCGTCCCCTCCACCAGACTGGGAATCTGGAGCCAACCCTGGTGAGGCCCGTGGGGACGGGGAAGCAGCCAGGTGGGGCCCCTTACTGCACACCCTCCCTCTGTCCCCCTGCAGCTGCCGGGACCATGGAGATCGTGTACGTGTATGTGAAGAAGCGAAGCGAGTTCGGGAAGCAATGCAACTTCTCCGACCGCCAGGCGGAGCTGAACATCGACATCCCGCCCAACCCCGAGCTGGCCGAGCAGTTTGTGGAGCGGAACCCGGTGGACACGGGCATCCAGTGCTCCACTAGCATGTCAGAACACGAGGTGGGGCCCTGCCCTGGGGCACTGGGCCGGTGGAGCTGTAGTTGGGCAGGGTGGCCAGCCAGGGTGGTAAGGAGGACAGGGTGACTCCATCTGGGTGACTGGTAGCCAGTTAGAGTGGCCCAGTGCAGATGCTGGAAGTATGAGGGCAGAATGACCCCATGACCCACCATGGTGCCCAGGGGCAGGAAAAGACCCCGAGCCAGCCATTCCCCAGGCCAGGTGAATGTGACTCAGGATGCTCACTCTCCCGTGGGCTCTGGTCTTACCCCCTAAGACTCTTTAACTAGAGTCATCTGAGGCATGTGGTGCAGCTGGGAGAGGTAAACTGAGAGAGTGGGGATTCGGATCTACAGGCACCTGTCCCGCTTGTGAAAAGGAAAGGGTGCAACGGAAAGTTCTAGTCAAAGGGGCCTCCATGATAGGAGAGCGGAGCGTCATGTTGCAGTTCGAGCTCCCTGCCTGTCTAAAGCGGGTGGGTGAGCCGCCTCGATTACGGCAAGCGCCGCTGAGAGAAAACTAGCTTGAAGGAGAGAAGCCACTTGGTCATGTCCCAAATCAACCCGGTGAAAATCACACTTGTTTGGCCAAAAACACTTCATGGGTGGTTCCAGTAACTCACGGTTCAAACGCACTGAGTTCCTTGCTCTCCCAGAGCTGATTGCTGTCACAGGGACCGGGGTGATGCTGTCCTCGGAGTAGCCAACTAAACAGGATGGCCTTAGGGTCTCCAGCCCGTGAAGACTTGTTGCTTTTGTGAGCCCTGGCTTAGAAAGGAAAGAAAGGGAGTGACTGCTTACTGGGTTTGGGGTCTCCATTTGGGGTGATGAGAAAGTTCTAGAACTAGACGGAGGCAATGGTGGCACAACATCAGGGAGGTCCTTAATGCCGCAGAATTGTACACTTTTAAATGGTTAAAATAGTACATTTTATATGTATTTTACCACAATTTTTTAAATGGCGGTGGGAATAGAAAGGAGGCAAAGCGACAAGTTTAAGGGATAAACTACATCTGTATCTACCATCCTCCCTGCCACAGAGAACGGGCAGAGCAATCCCCACCTTTACATCATTTCCCTGTTTCTTTTTTTTTTTTAAGATTTTATTTATTCATTTGAGACACAGAGATACAGAGAGAGAGAGAGCATGAGCAGGGAGAGAGGCAGAGGGAGAGGGAGAAGCAGGCTCCCTGCTGAGCCAGGAGCCCGATGTGGGGCTCGATCCCAGGACCCTGGGATCATGACCTGAGCCGAAGGCAGACGCTTAACCATCTGAGCCACCCAGGCGCCCGCATTTCCCTGTTTCAATACCCGTGACATTGTTAATGGTAAGGCAGAGCAGGCTCATTTGCTTCTTTTCCTTTGGGACCGCACAGAACAGATGGGTGGACTCCTCTGGTCATTAGGGTTTATGTAGAGTCAAAATTGGATTTCCCACAGCCAGCGGCATCGGCCACGAAGCGGCTAGCTCTGTAGGGCAGCACTTCCGTGGCTACCAGTGACCATCTGAGGACCAGAAAGTTCCTTGCTGGAACCTGACAGAATTATGGCTTTGGCCAGAAGCACCTCATTGGTCCATCCCTGTGTGTTTGGGGCCCCGGAGGGGCAGGGGGCCCGCGATCCTGGTTGGCGGAAATGTCCTCATGTTTACACCTGGGGCAAGCATGTTCTCACCCACGGCTCTTTGTTCAGGCCAACACGGAGCGGTTTGAGATGGAGACCCGGGGGATTAACCATGTTGAGGGCGGCTGGCCCAAGGATGTGAACCCCCTGGAGCTGGAGCAGACGATCCGGTTCCGGAAGAAGGTGGAGAAGGATGAGAACTACGTCAACGCCATCATGCAGCTTGGCTCGGTGAGGCTTCGTTCAGCCCCAGCCATCACTCGGGCTCCCCGCCTGCACGTGAAGCCCTGGGTGTGCCTGGCCCTGTGCTCGGCTTCTGTGGCTACTTGGGGCAAGAGCACTGACTACCTTCAGGAACCTTCTATCTGGGAGCAGGCAGACCCAGTCCATAACAGCAGACCATAGGGGAAGACGGGAGGGTACAAGTGCTAGGCAGGCTTTAGGAGGACTCTGACAAGTGCTCCCCTTAAGCAAAGAGGACCCCAAAGAACCCTCCCAGCAACCACCTGCCAGTAGGGATCATTCATTCATTCAGCACATTTGGACTGAGCTACGAGCCTCTGCCAGGCACAGCAGAGATTGCAAAAATGAATTGCAAAAAAAATTGCAAAAATTCACCTACATCCTGCCCCCAAGAGTTTATAGTCCACTGGAAGTCAAAGACAAATACAGAGATAACTCCGTATAATGTAGAAAGACATGCTGTAAGAGGAGGGATGACTTGCTATTTTGCTCCGTAAAGAGGGAGACTTGATTTCCTGTTGAAGGGATCAGGGAAGGTTTCCTGGAAAAGGAAGCCCTTGAGCTTGGGCTTTTCCTTGTTGGACATCTGGAAAAATGGGGAGGGCCCTCTGGGTGGCAGAACCAGAAGATGGGTGCTATATATGGAGTGATTACTAGTTCTGTTTGACTGGAGCAGTGTTTCTTCACCTTTTTTTTCATTGTTGTCCCTCAATGAGCCTTTTTAGACATTTTTTCCTAATTGCCTTCCCCATGACATTTATATATATATATATATATGCTTTATACATAAAAAGTAATATTTATATATTTATATATATATGTGTGCTTTATACATAAAAAGTAATATTATTTTACCCCCCCAAACCAATTTTCACCCCCTTGGAGGTGAAGGTGCCCCCATGGAGAATGCATGGGCTGGAAGGATGGGAGAGACCACTGGATATGTCTTGTCCCTGCCAGTCCTGGTCCATCTCAGTCCTGGTCAGGCTAAGAACTCCCGATGTGTCCCCCTCAGATCATGGAGCACTGCATCAAGCAGAATAATGCCATAGACATCTACCAGGAGTATTTTGATGACGAGGATGCGGTGGAGGTGACAGAGGAGGCCCCTTCAGCTAAAACCATCAATGTTTTCAGGTACCTCTCTAGCTAGGCAGGTGTCTGGCTGATCTCTGTCACCCCTCTGGGTGGATGCTTCCAAAGGTCACTCCTTGCTGATCACCCCATGCCGTGGGTACAAAGTCCTCTGTGCTACAAACTTGGTAAGGAGCAGAGCAATAGAACACCCAGCAGCCAACTGGTCCTTACCTTGGGGGTGGTCTGGTTGATGGAAGAGGAGGACAGACTCAAGGGAAAGACTAAGGGAATTTGCGAAGCTGCGTGCAAGCCAGGTCGATTCATGCAGGGCAGAATGAGTACAAAGTACGGGACATCCGTGACCCAGCAGCACTGTGGGCAAACAGGACCCCCATCCACACTCACGGGAGTGTACCTGGTAATAACCTCCAAGGACAGAGTTTGACAACAGGACTTTCTCCCATAGATACATGTGTGTGTGGAATCACTGTGTGTGTGGACATTCACTGCAGCAGGGCATGGGCTAGCCAAAGACCGGAAGCAAGATGAATCCATCCGTAGGGGACTGCTTCTAGCAATTCTGGTAGGCCCACACAGTGGAATACCACGCAGCTGTCAGAATGAAGGAGGAGACAGCCCCTTCTGGGACAAGATTTACTTTGTGAAACCAAACCACAACAAACAAGGTGCAGAACAGTATGTAGGGTAGCACTGTTTTTTTGTTTAAAAATAATATATATGTGTACCTATGATTTTGGAAGTGGTTAGCCTCAAATGCCAACCCTGGGGGATTCATTGGGCTACCATGACCCACTGAGGGTCCTGGGAAGTACTTGACCTCGTCCCAGCACAACCAGGAAGGACCCTTTTTTGATCCAGGGCTGAGTCGCGGTGTGCAGAGCAGGACCAAGGGCTTCGAGGAGAAGGGGCCAGGACGGGGTGGGGGGGCTGCCCTCCCTGCTGAGGTCTGATCTTCCGTAGGGATACCTTAGCAGGATGATGGTTTGGACATCATCCTGTCCAACCTCTACGTTTGACAGATGAGGGGACTGACCCCAGGGAGGGGATGGTGCTCAGGACACACAGTGGGTGGGCGACCCAATCAAGGATGGGACTCTGGTCTTCTGGATCCCAGCCTGCACTCTTCTCACTCTAACAGTGCTCCCAGGGGAGGAGTGAAGTGGAAGAATCAGGGGGTGAGAAAGCTACGTGGCTTCCCACTTTCCTGTATTCCTTCTGATTACTTCAAGGACAAAGTCTCAGTTTGGGCCTTTTCTACTTCTTGCTCATTCCCCTTCCTCTCTTTTTTTCTTCTTTTTTTAATTAAGACTTTATTTTTCAGAGCAGTTTGAGGCCCACAGCGAAACTGATTAGAAAGTACAGAGAGTTCCCACACGCCCCCTCCACCCCACACCCCCACAGCCTCCCCACCATCAACACCCCGGCCCGGGTGGGGCCTTTGTCATACCGTCGTGAGCCAGCGTTCTGATATTGCACCATAACCTGGGAGGCTTATAGACAACAGAAGTTTCTTTCTCACAATTCTGGAGGCCAGAAGTCCCAGCTCAGGGCAGTTGGGTTCTGCGTCCAGTGAAGACCCACTTTCTGGCTCACAGGCGTCCATTTTCTCACTGTGAACTCACAAAGCCGAAGGGGTGAGGGAGCTCTCTGGAGCCCTCTGTCAGGTGCTAATCCCATTCTGAATGGCTCAGGACCAAATCACCTCCCACAGCCACCCCCTAATACCATCACATTGGAGATGAGCTTTCAACATATGAATCTGGGGGACACAACGGTCAGCCTGTGGCACTCCCAAATCCACAGTTTACATTGGGGCTCACTCCGTGTGTTGCACACTCCGTGGGTTTTGACAAATGTATCATACAGAATAGTTTCACTGCCCTCAAAGTCCCGTGCTCCACCTTTTCATCCCTCCCTACCCCCAGACCCTCGGCCAACGCTTGATCTCTTTACTGTCCCCATGCTTTTGCCTTTTCCAGAATGTCACATAGTTGGAATCATACAGTATGTGGCCTTTTACAGACCGGTTTCCTTCGCTTAATGATGTGCGTTGCATTTCTACCCTGTCTTTCCGTGGCTCGATAGCTCATTTCTTTTTAATGCTGAATCATATTCCCATGTCTGGATGGACCCCAGCTTATTTATCCATTCACCCGCTGAAGGATGTCTCGGTTGGTTCCAAGTCTGGGCGATTATGAACAAAGCTGCTGGGAACATTCATGTGCAATATGTTGTGCGGACAAGAGTTTGCAATTCTTTTGGGCAAATGCCAAGGAGCAGGATTTCTGGAATTCTCCACTTTCCCTTTAATTTCAAAAGCCTTTCCCTTTAATTTCAATAGCAATGGGAAATCAGGCCTCAGGCTCAAAACTTTCAGCAAATGAAAATATCGGACTGGAATTTAATATTTTTTATTTCCATGGGTTTAGTGTTTATCATTGCCTTCTGTTTATGGCTGGCTAGAGTGGATTTTTGACTAAGGGAGTCCTCTAAACTTTGTTCTTAAAATAAATTTCTCTGTGGGGTGTCTGGGTGGCTCAGCTGATTGAGCATCCGGCTCTTGGTTTCAGCTCAGGTCGTGATCTCAGGGTTGCGAGATCAAGCCCCGTGTCAGGCTCTGCACTGAGCATGGAGCCTGCTTAGGATTCTCTCTCTCTCCCTCTCCCCCGTCCCCTGCTCTCTCTCTCTCTCTCTAAAAAGAAAGAAAAGAAAGTTTTCATAAAGAAATAATTGAGTAAATAAGGGGTGAAGAGGTGTGGGGAGACTTCCACTCCATTCCAGTCTTCTGCCCTCTTGCTCTCCGGTGAAGGGATCCCCAGGAGATCAAGCGGTCAGCCACACACCTCTCCTGGCACCCTGATGGCAACAGAAAGTTGGCGGTGGCATATTCTTGCCTGAATTTTCAACGGGCGCCTGAGGGCATGAGCCACGAATCGTACATCTGGGACCTGGGTGAGGAGCAGAGCGGTCCAGGTGGCCGGGAAAGCTGAGGGGGCAGGGGAGAGTCTTGCAGAGCACAGGAGTGGAAGGTAGAAGCCACAGGCGGGGGGGGGGATTCTCACAGGGCTGGTTGCTCATAGGGAGGGACCAAGGACCCCAGGAAGCCGCTCATCCCTTCCCTGTCTGGGTTCAAGCACAGTCAAATGGGAACCATATCAGAAGCAGGAAATTCCCTTCATTTCCAGATCCTTGATCAGGGCATTCAAGACCAGACCCCACCAAATCCCAGTTCAGACAGACTCACCGCTGTCCCAACTTTCCTGGCATTTGTCCTTCACCCATGGCCCGGAGGGGCAGTGTGTCCACTTGGGAGTACACACCCTTGTTGACAGAAGCACTCACTCTAAGAGCGAGAGCCTGGCAGGGAGCCGGCGATGGGGCTGCATGCTGTCAGATGTCCCTTCACTGTCACCAGTGTGAAAATAAACATTAGCCATTACGAGTAGGTGTATGTGCCAAGCTCAGAACTGAGCACATGATGCTCTTGAGCAGCCCAACAAATGCTTACAGCTACCCTGGGGGGTGGACTCCATCATTAGCCCCCCTATACAGACAAAGAAACTGACTTGGGGAAGTCAGGGAGAGTTGGCTTTATGTAAAAACCTTGTGGTCTAACCTGGTTTCCTACCAAACCCGAAAAATGGACACACACACACACACACACACATACACATTCCTGATTACCAGAAATAAAACCACTAGAAGAGCCCCTAGGGTAAAGAGTGACAGATTCTGGTCACCAAGGCCTAGAGGTTGCAGCCTGGAGAAAGACAGGAGGGGCTTCCAGGCTTCCCCCGACCCCCAACCCCCGCCACTTCCCACCGCCTACCTCTAGAAGGGTTAAACTGTTTGACCCTGTCCTTTGCTTTCTAGACCCAGTGGGACCATTTTTTTGTTTCTTTGTTTTATAGAAAACCCCAACAGGCCTGAAATTGTCCTGAAGCCATCTTCTTCTCTTGTCACCTTGGAGTACAACCCCAAAGATTCCCACGTGCTTCTGGGAGGCTGCTACAATGGGCAGCTTGGTAAGCAGGGGCCCGGGGCTTCAGCAGGACCTGCCCAGCCCCCGCTGCTGTCCACCAGGCCCACATGCCTGCCCGGGCCTCCCGCGGGTCACAAAGGGAGGTGGGGACTTCCCACAGCGGATGAACTCCAGACATCCGGGCAAGTCGGATTTTGCTGATAGCTCAGCTGCATCTCCAGTTGTAATAGTTCAAGTCAGTCTGAAACCAGTTCAGAATAAAAAGTTTTAAGAAAATTACAGGTCAAGTATAAAGTCAAGGAGCATTTACTGCCCACCTGCCTCCAGCTGGGATAGAGTACCTGGGGGCAAAGGGATAATGAGACCCGTGAGGAGCTCTGTCTCCGGAGAGGCAGGTGGAGACTCCTGTACAGAGATGGATGTGAGCAATTCCTGCCATGCACAATGAGTGGGGACGTGTTCCCTCCTCCTTTGATGATCGGGAGCATTTGGTACTAATTCTTTAAATGTTCAGTAGAATTCACCAGGGAGGCCATCTGGTCCTTCCCTATTGGAAGTTAAAAATTGCTAATGCAACCCCTTTTTTAAAAAAATTTATTTATTTAGAGAGCACAAGCTGGAACAGGGGCAGAGGGAGAGGGAGAGAGAGAACCTCAAGGAGACTCTGCACCGAGCACAGGGCCAACCCAGGGCTTGATCTCACGACCCTGAGATCATGACCTGAGCCGAAATCAAGAGTCGGAGGCTAAGTCGACTGAGCCACCCAAGTGCCCCTCTAATGCAACCTCTTTATTTGTTCTAGATTGCCTCATACTTTCTATGTCTTCTTGAATCAGTTTTGGTAGTTCCATTCCCCTCTCTTTCTGTTTCTCAGACAGATCATCTCGATGACCTACCTCCAGCTCAGGGGGTCTTCTGCCTGCTCAAGTACGTTGCCCTGCACTGAATTTTCATTTCAGTGAACATATTTTTCAACTCCAGAATTTCTATTTTGTTCTTCCTTTTAAAAATAATTCCTGTCTCTTGGGGCGCCTGGGTGGCTCAGTCAGTGAAGTGTCCACCTCTTGATTTCAGCTCAGGTCATGATCTCAGGGTCGTGGGATTGAGCCCCACATTAGGCTCCATGCTGAGCATGGAGTCTTCTTGGATTCTCTCTCTCCCTCTGCCCCTCCCCTGCTCATGCTCTCTCTCTCTGATAATAATAATAATAATAATTCCTGTCTCCTTATTGATATTTTTTATTTAACAAGGTATCACTCTCATACTTTACTTCTTTAGATACGGTTTCCTGTAGTTCTTTGAACATCTTTAAAATCAGTGACGTAAAGTCTTTGTCCAGTAAGTCCAACAGCTGGGCTTCCTTGGGGTCAGTCTCTGTTTATTGCCTTTTAGCCTGTGTATAGGCCGTATTTTCTCATTTCTTTGTGTATCTTGTAACTTTTTTTTTGTTGGAAATTGCTCTCTTTACATAATATAAAGTGACAGCTTTGGAAATCAGATGCTTATACTTGCACAGGGTTTGTTTTTGTTGCTATTTGTTGGAGTGGTTCATTTCTTCAGTGAATTTCCTGAACCAATTCTGTGAAGTCTGTACCCTATCGTGTGTGGCCGCCACAGTCTCTGCTTGGTTCGCTTAGTGGCTGGACAGGGATTTCCTTAAGCACCTGCAGACAACCAGTCTTTGCTGAGAACCCATGGGTGCCTGTTTGTGCATGCCTGCAACACTCAGCCAGGCAGCTGTCAGCCCCACCTGAGCCTCTGCACAGAGCCTCGGGGTCAGCCAGAGGCAGGGGCTTAGGACCTCCTCTATTCTTTCCTGAGCATGTGCTCGGCTCTGGGCACGCACACAGCCCCACCCAGGCAGGTGGAATATGTCGGAGCTTTTCAAAGCCCTGATGGACACCTTGTTCTCCAGGTTTGCCTTTTAAGCTTTGTGGTTAGTTTGCTATTTGCCCACCTGTTACCCACCACTTCAGGAAGCCGCACAGTTAATCAGTTGCCTATAATTATTATCATTTTCAAGAGTTGCCTCCATAATAAGACTTTTTTTTTTCACTCAGCAAGCTCCAAGTCAGGCCACGTTACCCCTCCTGTGGCTGCCAGGCTGCAGGTTTTCACCAGGAAGATAAAATGTTATTATTATTATTTTTTTTTTTTGAGGCTGCCGTGGGACTTGGAGAGTGTGGGGTCTTAACTAAGGCAAGTTAAAAAAAGCCACAAAACTCACTGTCCTTACTAACATTCAGCTTTCTCCTAAACACTTTCTGGATGATGGCAAGATTTTGGCTAATTTGTTCTGAAAAAGTTGACTGACGATTGTTGCTGGTTTTCTCATTGCTTTTATGGAGGAGATTTTGAGGTCCTTAGTCTGCTGATTTTGCTGATGGAACACCTAGAAAACTGGTTTTTGGATCCCTGGAGAGCCTGGAAGGAAGCTGCCCACGTGGGCCCTGCTCGCCTGCCCGCCCTCCACCTCTGGCCCCCAGGCAGCAGACACTCAGCCTCCGTGGCTGCACCCCAGGCCTGACTTGACCTTGGGCTTGAAAAGGGCCCCCTACCCTCCTACCTTCACATGTTCTCTTCCTTCCCCTTCTTCCTCCCAGAGTAGGAGCCGGCTGGCAGGGAAACTTCTTAGACACTCTTCTGAGGCCTCTGACCCTCTTTCTCAGACCTGCCACCTCCTCCCTGGGAACAGACACGGGTTCCCACAAGTCTCCTGCCAAATTACCTGGTGCCAGGGCTCTAGAAGATGAGCGGAGCCACTGTGCATGATTTATTCAGGAGTCTTGCCTTGCTCATTATTCATAACCCCTTTCAGGGCTTTTCACGCTAGATGAGAGCAGCTCTGGGGCTCGGCTGCTGGGGGAGCCCCCCTCCCGAGCGCTGCTCTGCCCAGGCAGAGCAAGCTTAGCTAAGAAAGCCCGTATCTGGGCCAGGCCAGCCCAGGGGCAAATGCTTTGGACTTCGATTCCTGAAATCAAAACATGGATCATGTTTTTTGTTGCTTTCCTGGAAATAGCTCTGTGTGAGAGAGCGGGTCCTTGCTGCACACTCGTGGCAAAGCGAGAACGAAATCCATCAAGACAGGAACTAGAGAAGTTTTGGGGCTTTCTTGGTAAAGCAGCAGAGCTGAAGCCCCAGTAACGAATGTGCGTAAGGGGTCTGTGAGCTGCATTCCCATCTCCCAGCGGGGACAGCCAAGGTGCAGAGGATAAAAGGGAAGGAGTTTATGTAGCAGGAGAGATTTGCCTCAGTGTTCTTACTTTCAGGAGCCTTTCTGTGGGGTGGAGACACTCTTCTCTCTGGCTGGCCCACCACCCCCATCCTAGGCTCATCTTCAGTCCGCGCTCCTTCTCACTCCTTCCAGGAAGCTTGCCCTGACCACCCCCACGTGTCCCTCACCAGAGCAATCCCAGCACGAGCTCTGCTTGCCCATCCCCCTTCCTGCCTCTCAGGGACAGGGACGCTCGTATTCCCAGAGGCTTCCCGAGGGTCTAGTGTAGTGCTCAACACATGGTAGGGGCTCAACAGAAATGAGTGAAGCTTGCACTCTGGGAGTCTTCCCACAGAGATTGTGTGGGAACTTCAGGGGTCGGTAGGAAACTCAGGCAGGTTGGGAACGAGCCCTGATTCTCAAAAACCACACACCTGCCAAACCAAGAGAAGCAGCATCCCTCCGTCGCCTACTCCCTGCACCAGGGAAGGGAGACTGGACTTCCATTCACCTTTCCCTTATTTCCCCCCCCCCCCCCCCCGCTAGCCTGTTGGGACACCCGCAAGGGCAGCCTGGTGGCGGAGCTGTCCACCATTGAGTTCAGCCATCGAGACCCTGTGTATGGTTCCATCTGGCTGCAATCGAAGACGGGCACTGAGTGCTTCTCGGCATCCACAGACGGGCAGGTACTGGCCAGCCACTGTGGAGGGCAGGGTTGTGGGGAACAGTGACACTTCCCTGGTTCCCCTTCAGAATCCCCGGGAGAACGTTTCCTTTTTGCATTTTATTTTAAAATTGAGGAGTAGATAACACGTGCACATGGAACAAAATCCAAAAGGTACACAAAGGCAGACAGGGAAACACCTTCCTCCCACATCTGCCCACAAGCCTCCCAGCCCCCCTCCCCATAGGCGCCCACCTGCATTAGCTTCTTACGGCTGCCTTCAGGGATAGTCTCCGTATACAGGAGCAAATACATCCGTCTTTTTCACTCCCTTTCTGCACACCTTACACCTAGGTAAATATCTGCACTTGATATTTTCATTTAGTATATCTTGAAGATGGTTTCATATTTCATAAAACACTGCCCGGTGCCTGTCAAGAACTGCATTAGGGGGGCGCCTGGGTGGCTCAGTCACTTAAGCGTCCGACTCTTGATCTCAGTTCAGGTCTTGATCTCAGGGTCATGAGTTTGAGCCCTGCGTGGGGCTCCACACTGGGCATGGAGCCTACTTAAAAAAAAAAAATAAAAAGAACTGCATTGGGTAAGCCATAATTTATTTAAATGGATCTCAATAGGTTGTCATTCTAAGAATAATGTTGCAAGCAGTGTATTTGTATATGGGTTTTTGCACACGTGTGAAGGCACATCTATACCATACGGTGGGATTTCTGGATCAAAGCATATGGGGCATATACAACATTGCTATAAATTGCCATATTGTGGGGAGGCTTTAAGAGTTCAGATTCCAGAGCCCACATTTGGCGATTTTGATGCAGTAGGCCTGGAGCGAGGCCCCAGCATCTGGATTTTATGAAGCTTACCCATAACCCTAGTGATCAGCCAGGTTTGAGACCGTGGGCCAGAGCAGTGGTTCTCCAAAGTGTGTTTGTCGTGCAGGTCACTGGGCACCTCTAACACCCACCCCTTTGGCTCCAGTGATTGGCCCCAGGAGGGTGGTGGGGGTAAGGAGGGCAAAAGCCAGGAGAATCGAAGGACCTCCAGCCTCACAGTTGCCCCGTCCTACCATCAGGTCATGTGGTGGGATATCCGAAAGATGAGCGAACCCACCGAGGTGGTGATCCTGGACATTACCAGAAAGGAGCAGTTGGAGAGCGCCTTGGGGGCCATCTCCCTGGAGTTCGAGTCTACTTTGGTGAGTGTCCCCAGCTCTCCCTTTGCCAGCTTTCCATCGCTGGGGCAGCCAGAGCCGAGGGCAGGGCAGGCCAGGACTACAAAGTGCACCAGGCAGCTCCTGGTGGAGGGCCAGCCCCACTGCGGTCCTCCTGGACGTGTGTGGTGTTTCCAAGGACTCTCCAGCAGGGGGCAGCAGAGCTGCTTGCAGAAAGAAGCCGCACCATCTCCTTCCCACAGTCCCCGCTTGGCTAGTGGCTGCGCTGAGCAGAAGGCAAGCTTTTGCAGAGGACAGGATTCCGGAAAGGCCCCATTCTGTGGGAAGAGCCCTGCGCAGGACCAACATGGAGAGGCCAGGCTCTGTCCCTGCCTCGTGTGGGTCGCTTCGCTTTCTGAAGGGCAGGAAGAGATGTTGGAGAAGAAAATGAGGTCAGAGGAGGCTCCTTGGAAAACCCAGAGCACAGGCACAGTTAGAGCATTTAGCGAGGGGAAGGAACAGTAAAGAAATATCGAAGCTGAGCAGTAATGTGAATGTGCCAGAGGACGGAAGCTTCTAGAAACAGCAAATGAAGACACCCTCCCTCCAAAGCAAGAAAACAACTTTCCCAGATGACTCTTGCCTTGGGCTGGTTCCTGGTTTATGTCTGGCTGAAGCCCAGGCCTGACTCCTCTCCCCTCCAACCCCCCCACCCCTCCCTGGGGAATTATCCCTTGTTTGCTTTCAGGTCATGTGACATCATTCCTGGGCCCTTGGGAGGTGGAGGTGCCCTGGCCTCACCCCTGTGCTGGGAGACAATCGAACTGGCCCTCACCCCTGGGCGTGGTAGTCAGGGTGGAGAGGACGCAGAGAAGCATTCTGTCCCGAAATCAGGGACGACTAGGGCAGGTGCTGGATGTGGTCACCGTGCCGCCACTAGTCCCCGGCTCTCCCACACCCGTGACCGAGCGCAGGCTGTGCTGGACACTAGTAACTTGTCTTGCGTGATGAGCTTGCGTAATCACACACGACCATCTTGTGAGGTGATGTTATTATCCCTACTTTCCAGCTAAACAGATGAACCTTAGTGTGGTAAGTCGTGCTCTCTAGAACACGGGGCGACCGGGGCTCACACCCAGGCCTCCGACTCCAGGCCCAGGCTCGCCAGGCCAACCCCACCAAGAAGTCTGAGGCTGGAGGAGGCTGGAGGCATGGCGGGCCCTCCGGATCTGGGTATTTCTGCCCGTTACTAGCTTGCAGGAGCCCTGCGGTTTACTTCGTCACTCACCCACTCTTCTGGGCCTTTCAAGCTGTGTCTCTTCACTTTTCTTTGACCCCCAACCTGGAGTCCAGTTGTTTCTTTTCTTTCTTTTTTTTTTTTTAAGATTTTATTTATTTATTTGAGAGGGAGAGAGAGAGAGAGTGCACGCATGTGCACGTGAGTGGAAGAAGAAGCAAAGGGAGAGAGAGAGAGAGAGAATCTCAAGCAGACTCCCCGCTGAGCACGGAGCCCCATGCGGGACTCGATCTCACGACCCTGAGATCATGACCTGAGCCGAAATCAAGAGTTGGACACTTAACTGACTGAGCCCCCCGGGCGCCCCTGTGCTTCTTTTGTAAAGCCATTTCTTTCCTTTCTAAAGCCAAATGATATTCCACTGTATGTACAGAGCACATTTTGTGCATCCCTCCAACGTCACTGGGGTTGGGACGCTTGAGTTGCTTTTACCTCTTCGCTGCTGTGAACAAAGCTGCCATGAACAGGGGTGTACAGCACGGCCCAGTTTTGCGGAGAGTGGCTGGAGGCTGGGTGAGGGGCTTTCTAGACTCATGCTTTACACTATTTATTCTTTCAGTCATTCACTTTATCTGTAAACACTCAGGATCTTTATGGCTAAATGTCTAGCGGACACAATTGTGCTATATGAAGAGGTGTTCATCATGAGGCTGCTGCTGAGTCTCTCCAGGGACTAGAAGAGTCAAGAGTGCTTCATTAAGATGGGGCCCTTGAGCAGGTTCTAGAGGTGGGTGGGGTCTGATGAAGCCAGGACAGGCGGGGGCAGCTCCTTAGGAAGGGCTGGGGAACAGCCTGAGTGGAGGTTTAAACCAAAGGCCCTCCCAGCACCGTCGGACCCCTCCGCCCTGGCCCCAGAAGGCTGCTCGCTATGACAGTGAAGCCCCGAGCTGATGTTTCATGGCACCTTCCACTCCTGTGTCGCCCCCTCCACAGCCAACCAAGTTCATGGTGGGCACCGAGCAGGGCATTGTCATCTCTTGCAATCGTAAGGCCAAGACGTCAGCTGAGAAGATCGTGTGCACCTTCCCAGGCCACCATGGCCCCATCTATGCCCTGCAGAGAAATCCGTTCTACCCGAAGAACTTCCTGACCGTCGGTGACTGGACCACCCGCATCTGGTCCGAGGACAGCCGGGAGTCGTCCATCATGTGGACCAAGTAAGAAGGAGGGTGGGAGGGACAGAGGGGGCCAGCCCAGGAGTGCCCTGAGCCTCCATGTGTCCACCCATAAAATGGGAGAGAACACCCCTCGACACCCACCTGAGCTTGCGCTAGGAGCCGCCTAATCCAGCCACTTCACGAAGGAATATGCTTCAAACAGCTTGGGCTGGTAAGAATAACAGGCTTGGGTTAATTTTCATGACCTCAGGACAACCCTACAAGGAGGTAGCATTGAGCCTCTTGTCCCTCGTTGTCTGTGTCGGGGGACAGGGCCACGAGGAAGCCAAGCCATTTGCTCCTGGTCCCTCAGCTGGTAGGAGCTGAGGTGGGATTTGAACCCAGGAAGCTTGGATTAAGAATCCGGGCACCTCGAGCAATGTCCACAATAGCCACACTGTGGAAAGAGCCAAGATGTCCATCGACAGATGACTGGATAAAGAAGAGGTGGTATATATATACAATGGAATATTATGCAGCCATCAGAAGGAATGAGATCTTGCCATTTGCAACGACGTGGATGGAACTGGAGGGTATTATGTTGAGTGAAATAAGTCAAACAAAGAAAGACATGTATCATATGATCTCACTGATATGAGGAATTCTTAATCACAGGAATCAAACTGAGGGTTGTTGGAGTGGGGGGTGGGGTGGGAGGGATGGGGTGACTGGGTGATAGACACTGGGGAGGGTATGTGCTCTGGTGAGCGCTGTGAATTGTGCAAGACTGTTGAATCTCAGATCTGTACCTCTGAAACAAATAATGCAATATATGTTAAGAAAAAAAAAAGAAGAAGAAGGTAGCGGGAGGGGAAGAATGAAGCGGGGGAAATCGGAGGGGTAGACAAACCATGAGAGACGATGGACTCTGAAAAACAAACAGGGTTCTAGAGGGGAGGGGGGTGGGAGGATGGGTTAGCCTGGTGGCGGGTATTGAGGAGGGCACATTCTGCATGGAGCACTGGGTGTTGTGCACAAACAATGAATCATGGAACACTTCATCTAAAACTAATGATGTAATGTATGGGGATTAACATAAGAATAAAAAAAAAACAGATTTAAAAAAAAAAAAGAATCCGGGCACCTCGGCAGGATGGCTTGGTGGGTCTCCTCTCCTGTGAGGGTGGACATATAGGAGCAGAGAGGGACAGAGCTGTGAGCTCTGTCGCTGGATCAGAGAAGCTTGTGGTTTCACCCAGTCTGCCCAGAGAAGAGCCCAAGTGGTGCATGAGACAGACCCTCCGCGTGGTCCCACTGCCCCTGGGTGAGCCGGGGAGAGCCACATCCATAGACATGTCGCGATGTAGGCAGGGCCGAGAGACCAGAGCAGAGGCATGAGGTGGGGGGACAGGTGCCCCCTCAGTCTTCATGTGTGTCAATCCGGGGTTCCTTTCCAGCTCACGCAGTCACAGGTCCTGCAGTGTTGAGCCACTGTGGACCCGAACGGGCATCTTCTCTTCCAGTGGTTCCCAAATCTGGGTGCATCAGCATCTCCTGGGAGGAGTGGTTTGTTTTTTTGTTTTTGTTTTTGTTTTTTTTAATCCAGACTCCAGGGCTGCTGTATTGGATCTTGCATTTGACCCAGGAATGGGCATGCTAAGGATTTCCCCGGGGGCTTTATGATTCAGCCTGTCTTTGCTTTTGGAGCAGAAATCTGGTCCCATCTCCCTATTCTACAGGGTAGAGAGGGAGGCCCAGAGGGTAGCGCTTTGTTCCAGGTCCCATGGTGACTTAGAGGGCTCCACACCACCTACCCAGGTTCTGACTCTTTTGTCATATATATATATATATATTCAACCATTTTTTTTAAAGATTTTATTTATTTATTTGACAGAGAGAGACACAGCGAGAGAAGGAACACAAGCAGGGGGAGTGGGAGAGGGAGAAGCAGGCTTCCCGCCGAACAGGGAGCCCGATGCGGGACTCGATCCCAGGACCCCGGGATCATGACCTGAGCTGAAGGCAGTCGCTTAACCAACTGAGCCACCCAGGCGCCCTATATTCAACCATTTTATCGAGGTGTCATTGACATGGAAAAGGCTGTACATACTTAATGCATACAGGTCTATGAGTTTGGGGATAAGTTACACCTGTGAAACCATGACTGCCATCAAAGCCATAAACATACCCATCACCTCTCTCCTACCCCCTTTATTGTAATTATTCTTGTTGGGGGGGGAGGTTAAGAACACTTAACATGAGATCTACCCTCTTGGCAAATTTTACTATTTGGTACAGTTTTGTTAGCTAGAGGCCCTACTAGATCATACTAGATCTCCAGAACTTATTTATTTTGCATAAATGAAAGTTTGTACCCTTGGACCATCCCCTTCCTGTTTTTCCCCTCCCCCCAGCCCCTGGCAACCAGTGTTCTACTCTCTGCTGCCGTGAGTCTGACTTTTTTAGATTCCACATGTAAGTGAGATCATGCAGTATTAGTCTTTCTGGGTCTGGCTCATTTCACTCAGCCCAACATCCTCCAGGTCCATCCACGTTGCTGCAAATGGCAGGATCTCCTTTTTTAAGGCTGAATAATATCCCATTGACTCTACAGACCATATTTCCTTTATTCATTCACCTGCTGATGGACATTTAGGTTGTTTCCATCTCTTGGCCATTGTCAGTAATGATGCAGTGAACATGGGGGTGCAGGTATCTCTTTGAGATTCTGATTTTAATTTCTTTGGATAAATATCCAGAAGTGGGATTGCTGGATCATAGGGTAGTTCTATTTTTAATTTTTTGAGGCAGTCCATACTGTTTTCCACAGTGGCTGCACTAGTTTGCATTCCCACCAACCGTGCACGAGGATTCGCTTCTCTCACCAACACTGTTTCTTGTTTTTTTGATGATGGCCATTCTAACAGGTGTGAGGAGCTGTCTCCTTGTGTGTATGGTTTTGTTTTTCTTTTTTTAAATCTCACTGTGCTTTTGATTTGCATTTCCCTGATAATGAGTGATGGTGAGCACCTTTTCAATAACCCATTAGTCATCCGTATGTCCTCTTTGGAGAATTATCTTTTCAAGCTCATTGCCCATTTTTTAATTGGGTTATTTGGGTTTTTTTCTATTAAGTTTTTTGGTATGAGTTCCTTATATATTTGGGATATTAACCCTTTATTGCATATGTGATTTGCAAATATTTTCTCCCATTCCATAAGTTGCTTTGTCATTTTCTTTGGCTTTGCTGTGCAGAAGCTCTTTACGTTGATATACCCCACTTGTTTATTTTTGCTTCTGTTGCTTGTGCTTCTGGAGTTATATCCAAGAAATGGCTGCCAAAGCCAATGTCAAGGAGCTTTTCCCCTCTATTTCTTTCCAGGAATTTTATGATTTCAGGTCTTATGTTTAAGTCTTTAACTCATTTTGAGTTGATATGTTTCATATGGTGGAAGATAAGGGTCTGATTTCATTCCTCACAGCAGAAATCTTCGAAAATCTAGATCCCACCAAGTAGGAAGTATAGCACTCTTCCAATGTCAATACTAGGAACTTTTCTGGGCACACTTCCTCTGACTCCTTTTAGTGAGTCCCACGGCTGGAAGACTGGGCCCAGATCCAGCGGCATGCACCTGTTCCCTGGAGCCTGCTGTGGGAAAATACCAGGGACCAGCCCCTCAGAAGGACCAGAGCCTTTTTTTTTTTTTTAAGATTTATTTATTTATTTATTTGAGAGCGAGTGCAAGCCGGGGGAGGGGCAGAGGGAGCAGGAGACAAGCAGAGTCCCTGCTGAACGCAGAGTCCAACATGGGGCTCAATCCCAGTACCCTGAGATCATAACCTGAGCCGAAATCAAGAGTCGGATGCTTAACCAACTGAGTCACCCAGGCCCCCAGGACCAGAGCCTTTAAAATGCAGACCGTGGGGCGCCTGGGTGGCTCAGTCAGTTAAGCGTCTGCCTTCGGCTTGGGTCGTGATCCCAGAGTCCTGGGATCGAGCCCCGCATCGGGCTCCCTGCTCCGCAGGAAGCCTGCTTCTCCCTCTCCCACTCCCCCTGCTTGTGTTCCCTCTCTCGCTGTGTCTCTCTCTGTCAAATAAATAAATTTAAAAAAATAATAATAAAATAAAATGCAGACTGTGAACTGCTGGTAAGCAAGTTGGCATGGCTAGAAGTCAGACACAAGAAAGAACTTCCTGCCCAGCAATGAGACCCTGGCGTCCGGCGGGCCTGGATGAGCAGAGCCGTGGCTCAGCGGCTTCTCTGTCCTTCCCAACCACAGTGGTCCTTGACCAGTGACCCCCTGGTGCCCCACAGGTACCACATGGCTTACCTCACCGACGGCGCCTGGAGCCCAGTGAGGCCGGCGGTTTTCTTCACCACCAAAATGGACGGGACCCTGGACATCTGGGACTTTGTGTTCAAGCAGTGTGACCCTGCCCTCAGCCTGAAGGTCATATATATCCCCCTCCCCACGCATCCTGGCCCTCAGGGTCTGGTGGCCCAGCAGAATCACCTGGGGGACATTTAGAAAGAAAAGAGAAGCAGAAAGCCTGGTCTCTCCTCCTGCCAGGCCTACTCCTCCGGCAGCCCTGGCGTGGGTTCCTGGCAGCTGACCCTTCCAGCCTAAGCTAAGGTCATATTTGCACGGCTGGAGCCGAGCCCTGCTGGCTTGGGCCATGGAAGGGCATGGAGTTTGGGACACAGCAGGATGACCCGGGGGGGCTGGACTGAGGGGGTGGAGGGTGGGGGATGGATTGAGGGGGTGGAAGATGAACGAAGGGGGCAAAGGGTGTCAACAGCCAATCTCAGAGTGTGACCTTCATTTTGTGGGTCAGGGGAGTCACCGAGGGTGTTTGAACACAGAGTTTGGCGAAGTGCCCACCTCCCCGGGGGCCAGATCGTCAACAAGTCTCTCTTCCCCAACCGGGTCCAACAGGTGTGTGACGAGGCCCTGTTCTGCCTCCGGGTGCAGGACAACGGGTGTTTCATCGCCTGCGGTTCTCAGCTGGGGACCACCACGCTGCTGGAGGTCTCCAATGGGCTGTGCACGCTCCAGAGGAACGAGAAGAACACAGCTTCTTCAGTAAGAGTCCAGTGCTGCCCGGCCGGGGGCAGAGCATGCTAGCCAGAGAAAAAGATCAGGCCCTCCCTTTTGCCTCCTGGGAAATGCATGGACTTTTGGGGAGGTGGCGTGGTGTCCCCAAAATGAGCAGGTAAGTGGGGTCAGGAGTGTCTGAACCCACCCTGGCTTACCCACGCGGTGGTGCAGCTGCCTTGGGCAAGTCACCTCACCCCCCGGGCTTGTCACGGTCAAAGTGGCTTGATAGGTCAGTTTGTCTGGCTTCACAGATGACATCTCTTTGAAGCAGACCCTGTCAAACAAAGGCTCAGAGATGCCATTAGAGAAGACAGAGGGAAGGCGGGGATCCTGGGGAAGGGGGCTGGGAGGCTGAGATCCGTCCCTACACCCCCCAGCCCGCCCCCCCCCGCCCCAGCGGACCCCTGCTGCCTCTCCCCAGCACCGTGAACACACCAGGGAACTGAAGGCCTGGTGCTGAGGCCCTGGGCCAGCCCCCTGGCTCTGCTGGGATTGTGGGCCGGCCCCCGAGCAGGTGCGTCCCTGGGCCCAGGGCCCCACAGTGCTCAGCTGTACGTGCGTTCTTCAGGCTGTTGTCTCTGTTCTGGGAACCCCTCGGAACTGGGTGACTGGGCAGCTCCGCTCCTGCCTCCCGACCTCAATGTCCAGCCCTCCTTTCTTGCCGTTAGCGCTGAGAACAGACCCCTTTGGGGCTGCACTGAGCAAAGAGACGTCAGCCCGGCCCCACGCTGGGAGCCAGCTGCTGGCCGCCGCCCTCCTCCCACAGCCTCCCTGTCCCCGTGTGCCCCAGATATTTGAGCGGGAGACCCGGCGGGAGAAGATTCTGGAGGCCAGGCACCGGGAGATGCGGCTGAAGGAGAAGGGCAAGGTGGAGGGCAAGGACGATGACCAGAGGGAGGAGGAGACCACCCTCAACCTTGAGGAGCTGGTCACCAAGGCCGAGGAGGAGTTCTTCGACATCATCTTTGCGGAGCTGAAGAAGAAGGAGGCAGAAGCCATGAAGAAGAAGCCAAAGCCTGTAGGGTCCCAAGCAGGGGGCACCGGGTGGGGAAGGGGAGTCAGGGGGTGGGGAAGCCCCAGGCCTGGGTTCTTCCTGCTCTCTGACCTCCTGGGTGACCTCGGGCAAGTGGCCTCAGCAGGTGGACCTTAACTTGTCCATCCAGCAAGTGGGAGGAGTGACTCCCTTCTTCCTGAGGAATCTTAAGTGTCCAAGGGGACTGCCCCGCTTTCGAGAAGTGGGTGGTGGGCTCCTGGGTGCCGACGGAGCGGACGGGCTGGTGGAAGACAGGCCGGCCCATGGAGGGGATAAACTTGTCCCATCTCATGAGCTCTCCCCGCTCCATCTCCCTCCACTGGGGCTGGGGCCTGGCTGTGATGTCTGCTGCTTCTTTTGCATTTGGAAGCGCGTGGATATGAGAGGCTTTATTCTCACACTGTCTGTGTGGCAAGGTGGGGGCACAGACCCTCCTCCGCTTATGGCCGAGGCGAGACTGGAGTCCCAGCTTTCAGACCCTCCCCGCCTCCAGAAGGCAGTGCTGACAACGGCCACTTTCTGTGGCACAGTCCACCTGGCAGACAGCAGGCTTGGTGCTGGGGGTCCCCCCAAAGGTGCCCCTCCCGCTGCTCGAACACTGCACTTGGAGAAGCTGGGCCTCAGAAGGCAGTGCGGTGCACAGAACAACCTCGCTTCTGCCTGCCTTTCTCTTAAGTTTTCTGCAGCTGGCCAGAAATTCTGGGTTCAGGGCTGAGAAAGCAGTGCGGGGTCCTTATGCCCATTATTTGTAATCCGGGTCACAGCCCTGCGAGGAATCAGGCCCCCTGTGAGGGGACCAAAGACACTCAGGAGGAGCTAGCCCGAGGTCACCCGGGAAGCAAAGCGACAGAAGTAGGACTTGTACCCGAGTCTGTCAGATGCCCTAGGCCGTGCCCGCCATCCGCACCCGCTGGCTCTGAGCACCGACTAGATCCTCGAGGCCAGGAGCTGGTAGCGGTCTCCCGAGTACCTGGCAACCCAGGCCTCCACCAGCGGGCTGCTTTGGCCTCAGGGGATTAACTTCCCAGAGTGCAGGGGAGGCCTGCCCCCCGTCAATGATTCTGCACTGTTTCTGCAGAAACATCAGGATCTGGAGACAGATGAGGAGGTGGAAGGAGAAGACCAAGGGGAGGAAGAAGGTGACCATGCCGAGACTCCGACCTAGAAGGGTCAGGTCGGCCTTGCCGCGGACCCACTTGCTCTGCACCTCTGTTTCCCACCTCCTGGTACGGCGCTGTCTTCGCAAGTAGGCGCTGAGCAACCCCCTTAAAGTGTCAGCAGAGGTAGGGCTGGGCAAGCAGAGGGTCCCTGACCCGACCCGATGCCCCACAAAGGGCTGGCCTCCACTGACTCACTGAGCCCAGTCCCAACGGACCCGTTGGAGGGAGGGAAGGGGCAGGGCTCATGCCCCAGCTGGGGACCCCTCCTCTCAGCCAGCCGAGCACACCCCGCCATTCAGCCTGGCCCTGCATGTTCCCTTGGGTTCAGCTTCCCCAGGGCTTTTCGGGCAATCATTTTCCTGCAAAGCCCGCAGAGCCTCCAACTGGACTTGCCTCAGCCTTGGCGGGGCCTCAGAAAGACCGGTGCGCGGGGAGAGGGGCTTCTCCTCCTCCCATCCTGACCCTCCCCTCCACATTACAACTCAGAGACACAGTCCGTCCGCTTCTAAAATGTCTCTGGGCAAACCCCCACCCCGACCCCCAGGCACTTTTACCTCTGAGAGGAGATGCACGAACGAGGTTGATTATTCTTGTACGCCTGCAAGCTTTCTGCTCTCTTAATTCTTACAAAATTCAATTAATAATAATGGTGCTAACACTGAGTGCTTATTGTACATCCTGTGCCGAGAGCTTTCCGTGTTATCTAATTCTTTGTGCAGAATCTCTGGAAGGTTTGTTCTCTGATTGTCCTTACTCTCCAGAGGAACAGTCGGATTCCGGGAGAAATGTGGGGACTGGCCCGGGTCACAGAGCTAGCGCAGGGCAGAGCAGGGACAGGAGTCCAGACAGCTCCGTCTCCGCCCGGCACAGCGGGCACCTGCAGGGCCCCTGGGGACACCAGGAACTGTGGTGCAGCAGAGCACTCCGCAACCATTACCAGAGACATCCGTAGCCAGGAGGGCACCTCAGAACCAGCTTTGCACCTGAAGTTCCCCAACCACCATTCATTCTGTGGGTGTCGGATGGTGCTAACAGGGACCCAAAGTGCCCCATAAAAAACTGCCCTTGTTAAGAATCTTACTGGGGAGGGACGCAGGGCCAGCCACCCTTTGTGACCAAAGGAAAAACAAACATTAAGTTGCCACTGTGGCCAGACCCTGATAGAATAATCCTCGTGGGACATATTTATCGAATGCCTGATCTTCCCAACAGCCCCAGAAGGAGCGCTGTCCCCATCTTCAATCCCCAAGTCACCGAGGCACCAGGTGAGGCACAGAGAGAGGGAGCAATGCCCGAATCCCAGGAAGAAGAGTGGGCCGGCCGAGTTTCTGCCCCCTGCCCGGCATTGCCATCCGAGCAGAGGGTGCCCACACACCTCGTGTCTCGCTCTGTACCATCTCCTGTGACAGGGGCCTCACTGTGTGAGGACACGGGAAGCCTGGAGAGCAGTGGTTCCAACTGGGGGTGATTTTGCCCCCAACAGGACATTTGGCAATGCCTGGGCACATTTCGGACTGACGTAACTGGTGGAGGGGTGCACCTGGCTTCCGGTGGGTAGACAGAGGCCAGGCATGTTTTCCAACATCTTGCTGTGCACAGGACAGGCCTCACTGCAGAGAATGATCCGGCCCAAATGTCAATAGTGCTGAGTTTGAGAAACCCTGACTTAGAGGAAAAAAATTTATCCAAATGAAATGTCCAGGGAGAAAGTCACAACTCCCTGTCACATCAGCCCAGGCACACTGCCAACCCCTTGATGAGTGGCTGGGACAAGGAGCTCCAAGGGAGAACATTCTTTTATATAATAGGATTTGGGCCTTTGGCCTGTGCTTGCAAAGGTGGACCACCTCCTGGGGCCTAAAAACACCTTAGCTGTGGGTACAGAGAGCACCCTGAGGCAGCGATGGTATTTGGGGAGTGGGCATGGCCGAGGACAGGACAGCCACCAACACCACTGGGCAGAGGGCAATGGGAACTTTGTGGAGGCGATGCCCAGCCCTGCCTGTCCTCACGGCCATGAACTTTACCTCCTCGTAAACCAGCCTCACCCAGAACCCATTGCTTAGTCTCTTGCAAGGGGAGCAACACGAAACCACAAAGCATCACTGGACAACCAGAGGCTGCTGGAAAAACCCATCTCCATGGGCACAGAATGCAAAACGTCGTTGACGGGCCTGGGTGCAGGAAGTGGGGAAGGGTGGCCAGACCCCAGGGTCCATGGCACAGTGAAGTCCCTCCCGTCAGTCGGTACACACCTGTGCTCCTTCTCTGGGTCCTGTTCTGCTCAGCTGATGTGATTGATAGATACACCGCTTAGCTGATGATGCTCCGGCCCGCAGCTGTGACAGCCCAGCAGGCTACAGGGGACGGCACTGTCCCACATTCGCTTCTGACTACTATGGGGTATGATGGGCCCCCTCACCCTTCATTAGAGGCCCCTGGGGTGACACTGACTGTCAGGCGAGGCAAAGGTGACTACTGGTCACCCCCAGGGTCAGACCAGCACCCCCTTTGGTTCTTCCCTGGCTCTCAGAACCAGAGACCCAGCAGCTGGCACCTCCATGTGCTAAGGGCCTGCGGGATGGAAACAACACGGTGGACAGAGGCAGGGCTCTATGGAGCTCACCGGCAGGCGGAAAGGGCTGGGTTCCAAGGTCTGCACCCAGCACCGTGCTAGGTACCAACCACAGAGCGGCGAGCAAGCCAACGCCGACTCTGCTCTCCGGGAGCCCGTATGTCCACGGGAGAGACAAGAGCGGACAGGTACACAGGGAAATATAGAAACATGGTTGCACAGAGTGACATCTTCCAGGAAGTACAGGGTGCTCTGAGGGGGATGAGAGCGGGAAGGACTTCTTAAGAGGAAAACCCTCGGGCGCCTGGGTGGCTCAGTCGTTAGGCGTCTGCCTTCGGCTCAGGTCATGATCCCAGGGTCCTGGGATCGAGTCCCACATCGGGCTCCCTGCTCGGCAGGAAGCCTGCTTCTCCCTCTCCCACTCCCCCTGCTTGTGTTCCTGCTCTCGTTATCTCTCTCTCTGTCAAATAAATAAATAAAAATCTTTAAAAAAAAAAAAAGAAGAAGAAGAAAACCCTCGGTGGATGTCTTGTTTCCCAGGGGCCCTTTCATTTCCCCTCCCAAGCTAGAATTAGCCACGGCCCCTCACAAGCAGGGGCAGACTTCGGTCCCTTGGGCCCCAGAGGGTCACAGGGCTTTAGAAAGTGCTCAGGGCTCATCAAAACCAGTGGATTCCAGCTGCAGGAGGGTTTGGAGGGAGGAGGAGAATGTCACAGATCTCGGATTGAAAATACGGTTGCTTCGTGGAAATAATGGCCATGGATGACATCACCATTCAAGAGAGCAGCAATGGCCCCCTCAGAGGGGAGCTTTTGCCCACTGGAAGCTTCAGGTATATGAATGAAGATCTCAAAAGCTCAGAAAAGCCAGAAAAGGGGGAAAGGACATATGAGTTTTGAAGAAGCCATTTGTCTGTGCTGCCAGCCAGACAAGCAAGTGAAAGACAGACCTCCAGGACAGACAGACGAGAACAAAGCCAGGGACGATTGAAGGGAGCAGCCCATCCAGAAGGCTGTCCAAGATTGAGCATGGCCAGAACAGGGGTGGGACGAGGGGACGGGCCAAAGATGAGCCAGGGAAGGCCAGGACTCCAGGCGAAGGGGCATGCTCCGTGTGGAAGGCCTTGGGGAGCCATGGTGGGATCTCAAGTGAGGTAATGACGCCAATCTATCTTTTAGAACGATGATGGTGGATTGGAAGGCAGAGAGACCATGCAGGCTGCTATGGCCCTCCAGAGGGGACACTGGGAGGTGCCAGCCTGTGGGCAGTGGCAGAGGGGATGCAGAGGAGGGACAGAAGCAACGGGAGTGGATGAGTGATCAGATCAGGGCAATACCTAGTGTGTGGAGGGTACGTACTGAGCTCTCACCAAGGGCCTGGCCCCTGTCCTTGTGGAGCTTCCTCTGATGGGTCTTTAAGGGCTTAAGTCGGAGCTTTGTGGAGGAGAAGAGGGGTCAGATATGGAGGGCGAACAAATTTGACGGAGTCGGAAAGGGTGCACTGGGCAGAGGGACCCCTGTGCGCGAAGGAGGACCCGGCACCAGCGTGGGTTTGGGAACAAACAAGCAGTCAGCACGGGTGGGAACCTGCGTGTGTGGAGTGGATCAGGGTGATGAGGCTGGGAGCCGGAGGGAGGAGCTGTAGAGAGAGAGGTAGTTGTATTTGCTTATGCATTAGAGAGCAGGGAAGACCGTGGGCAGGGGGCACAGCAAGGGGCCGTGTTCTGCTCAGGTGAGGAGAGGTAAAAGCAGGAGCCAGGGGTGTGGATGGAGAGGAGAAACACCTGCAAAAGCGGAGTCCCCAGGATCTGAATAGAGAGGATGAGGGGAAAGGGGGCGTGAATGGTGGCTTAGCAGAAACACAGAAGGCAAGTGGAGGACTCAGTTTGAGAACGGAGACAACGTTGTGACGAGTCTCTAAGTAAGATGGGCTGTGGCCTCCTGCTCAGAAGCTTCTCCTATTTTTATACCTCCATGAGCCATCCTGGGTGGGATTCAGGCAAGTGAAGGAACAGAAAAGAAAGAAAAAAGAGCTATAGGCCAAATGACCGGGGGTCTCCAGTGGCTGATCCAAATAGATTAGATTCAGGGTCTGGTACGCAAACCAGGAGGGTGGTTTCTATCCACAGAAAGCATCTTCAGACTTAACCTGATTTTCACTGCAGCACGCCCATTTGCAAGCCAGCCAGCCTTGGTGTGCAGCCTTGGGGGCAGCCTGGGCCAGAGAACAGGACAAAACCTTAGGGGACCGTTCCCCCCCCGCCCCCGCCCCAATGCAGGAGTGTTTGGTTTCCACCAAGCTTCACTTGGTTTATGTATGTATCCAATCCAAGGCCACGGGTGGCTTCCTGCCACTGTTTATTAATAACTACACCTAACACTAGCTCCTCAGGGGCAGCCGGGGAAGCCGGTCCCAGGCTGGCATCATGCTCTGCCCCTAGATGTGTGCCAGGCTGTCTGAGACAGCCCTGGGGGAATGAACGGCTGGCTCTTCTTTACCCAGCTCCTTCCATGGGAAGAGATCCCCCGTGTGCTTCCCTCGCGAAGTCCTTGCAGGGGGCCTGCCTGGCTCAGCTTCCCCCCTGGCGGGTGCAGGACAACACAAGGAAGACGGACCATCAGGACCAGGAGGAGCTCCACCACCACCATGGGGAAACAAAGGCCCAGAGCAGGGACCGGAAACACTGGCTCTCGGTGGTTCCGCAAGTTGGATGCACATTCGAGCCCTGAGCCCTGTTTTCCTAGGGCCTCCTGAGGCCAGGAACCCATCCACCGTGCTCCTCCAGTGTGTCATTGCTGTCAGGCTCCCCAGCAGTATAGACCGCGGCGTTCAACCTGCACTTTCCGGCTCGGGGCTGTGGCTCTTTCAACCACACAGACCCAACCGTCTTGACCTAGATTCTGGTTTACCTATAAGGCCTTGTTTGCTAGTGGGGTACACTGAGGCAGGCTCTAATGTGAAACACCCCAAGTCCTACAGAAGTGCTCCCCTGCACCACTCCAGGGGACAGCCTGGGCAGAGACAACTCTGTACCCTTCTGCCATCGGACAGTGGCTGGAGACACGGCGCCAGTGACCCCAGCCACAGCCACGATGCACGCTGTGCCCTGGGGAACACCAGGCAGCCCGCCGCCGCCCGCAGACGCCCAGACAGACACCGGCAGGCACGCAGACAGGCCGCAGGTGCGCGCGGCCGGAGGCACTGGGAGCGCGGCTGCCCGCGGGCCACGCAGCCGGCCGGGCGCCCCCTGGAGGGCAGTAGGAGAGGGGCCCTGGGCGCGAGCCGGGGGGGCGCGGGGAGGCGCCCAGAAACTCCCAAACGGAAGCGGCTGCGCCGGGCGGACGCAGGGCCGCGCAGAGGGCCGGAGGGACGCACAGGCGGGCAGTCGCCCGGAAAGCGGCGCAGGCTCGGGCGCCTTCCCGGCGGAGGCGGCCAACTCTCGCCTGCAGCGCGGGAGGGGCGGGGGCGCAGAGGCGGGAGGCGCCGTCGGGGCCCTCCCCTCGCCCCGCCTCCCGGTCAGCGCCCTTGGCCGCGGGCGCGTTGTTGGTTTCGGGTTGTCAGGCAGCGGCGGCGGCGCAGGGAGGCTGCGAGGGACCCGGCGGCGGTGGGGGTGCGGCTCGGCCATGCCCGCTGGCGCGGCCTGAGCCCCTCCACCCGCCGCAAGCATGAAGGACAGCGGGGACTCCAAGGACCAGCAGCTCATGGTGAGACCCCATTCATAGCCCCGGAAACCCAGCCTCTGACTTGGCCGCGGTCACAGCTGTCCTGTCCCCTCACCCCACTAAGAGGACACTGAGGGTCAGGGATGGGACTGTCAGGGAAACTTTCCACAAGTCCTGGATATCAAGAAGGAAGGTCTCGTGGCCATGCTGCTGAGGCCTGAAGTCAGCCTAGCTTCAACCTCACTCCCCCTTACACCTTCCCACCGGGGGAGCCTACCCCCCACCCCCATCCCCAAAGCTTGTGCAGATGGGTCTCTGGGGCGGGACTGCTCTCTGATCTAGAAAAGCCTGGGGCAGGACGGGCTTGACTTACCTGCACAGAGAAGGAAAGTGGGAGTCTCCCCGTGAGCCGGAGCTACCCTGGCGCTGTGGGGTCAGGAGTTTAAAGGGATTGGGAATCACAGGTGGGCAGACAGGAGCCCCGGGAGCCAGAGTTGCTGGCATGGGGTTGAGAGTGGCTGGTTACTGGGTTACAACACAGATGCTGTCCAATATTTCAGACAAGTGTTGGAAGCAACAAAGATGTACCCCCTCCCTGAGCCCTGGGGGCTGGGACAGATGAAGTGGTGTGAGTGGGGGTCTCCAGGGCAAGTAGAGACTGAAGACAGACCCCTGGGGGCGTCTGGGTGGCTCACTCAGTGTAAGCATCTGACTCTTGATCTCAGCCTAGGTCTTGATCTCAGGGTCAGGAGCTCAAGCCCCACGCTGGGCTCCATGCCGGGTGTGGAGCCTACTTTAAAAAAAAAGGCCCTTGATTATCAGTAATGCCATGTCAAAGCACTAAGGGGGAGGCTCAGTGGCCCCAAAGCCACTGCCCCTTCCACCCCTCTCCCCATCCCCTGACTTCTGAGGCCTGGGAAGGGAGGGCTTTGTCACCAGCAGGTGGGTCATAATGGAATGAGAGGATAATGCCGCCCCAGGAGCCCTACCTCTACAGGCTGAGCCCATGGCTCTAAAGAGGAGCTTGACCGCAGCTCCAGGAAAACCTCAGGCTCTGGAATATTCTCTCTGGCAGTTTATAATGTGTCTCTTGAAAATGGCTACTTTGGCCTGAGTGGTGTGCCCCCAGGACAGGGATGGAGGGTCCTCCCTCTCCCACCCGTGGGGTTGGGCCGAGGAGGCCGGTAAAGATGATCTGACAGACAGCAGAGGTCCCTCGGAGAGTGATGTTCTCACTCAGCATGAGGGTCCGTCAGCGATACCCACACATTCAGCAGGCATTTCCCCTTGGTCAGCAGAAGAAATGCACCCCCTTGTTGTCTGGGGAGCCCCATGCACAGGATGAAGACCCATCAGCTCCTACTGGCTGGAGAATCGAGAGAGAAGGGAGCACCCCATGGTGCTGTGCTGGGTAGGGATGTGGTCAGGGGTTGTTAGGACGTCAAGGTGAAGCTCCGGGGGTCCGGCCCCGTCCTGCCGTCAGCCAGGCCTGCACCTTCAGCCTCATTCACAGATGCACACAGGCTACTCCAGTGCCAAGGCTCCAAGTTCAAAGCCCTGGGGAGCTGCAGGTGCTTCATTTGGGCGTGTGACTGATGCAGGCTGGAGGAGCAGACCGCTCTTTCCCCTGGGGCTCTCCCTGAGCCCCGGGCTCCCCGGGGAAATTCATAGACTCCGAGGTAGCCTGCATGCCGTGGACCTGCTCCCCTCCACCCGGGCGGTGGCCTTGAACCACTGAGTTTTCCTTAAGACCAAGGAGGCCTGGGATGGCCACACAGGGGAGAACCCAGGGGGC